CATCTCAACTAATATCTCAAGGTTGAATAACATTCGTCAGACCAAGTCTCTTAATCCTTGCACACTTATACAGTTACCGTCAGCTTCGACTGTCAAATTAGACTCCTTTAGATGTTTGAACAAACTTCGAAGCACTTCTCTAACATCTCAACTAATATCTCAAGGTTGAATAACATTCGTCAGACCAAGTCTCTTAATCCTTGCACACTTATACAGTTACCGTCAGCTTCGACTGTCAAATTAGACTCCCTCAGATGTTTGCGCAAACTTCGAAGCGTTTCTCCAACACCTTAAATCCGAATAAAGTTCGACACGCAACGTTTCTCAAATCGCGTGCATTGCTCATCCCATAAAAACCCACGACGACCATAAAATCCGCCATTTCCCGACGGTCCAGGCGGAAGAAGTGGCCCCCGACGACGTTTGCACTTCGACTCGGCGTAATTTTTGCACGTTCTTTAATTAGATTCCGGTGGGAAGTTTAGTCGAGACATTAATATTTATCAGGGCATCCGGCGGCGAGTGGCGGTCGTTATCTCGGAAGCGGTTTTTCATCGGAACAATTTGTCCAGGGCGGGCTCGTTCGTCGCAGATACGTCGCAGTCGGTTTGATAAACTGTTGCCTGACCCAGTTCTATTCGTGAATAGAGAATAATGATGCCGCGCGCGAATGGCCCCCTCCCTCTGAGGGGAGCCAGGGGGGTCGTGGGAGTCTTCGAGCGGCCGATCCTCCGGCGACGAAAACCGCCGCGCGTCGGTCGTCCGCCGCGGAAAACAAGTCGCTCCCGCCTTTCGCGGTCCTCCGCGTCCGATAGCGCGCAAACCGCCGCACGTGCGACGATATAATGCACTGGTTTCAGGATCGGTAAAAGCTGGCAGGTGTTGCCAGGCGCGGCCGTTAATTTATGGACACGGCTTAACAGCGATTATCAGCGAATTGATATCATTATGGCGCCGCGATATTGTGACACACGTTCGCTCCGGCATCGCGATACCCGGGGGGAGGGGGGAGGGAGGCGCAATTAATGTCCTTACAGTAGGTGGATCTGTTATCGGCCGATGGGGCGCGATTAATGCCGTGTCGATGGCCAGGTGTGTAGGCGGTCCGCCATTTTCGAGTGTCGCTTTCACGGAGGAGGAATTTGTCGACAGCGAGCGCTGCTTAATTATCGGCTTTCTGCTCGGATTCGGGCCTTTGTCCGACGCTGCTCGCTCGATCGTCCTTTTCGCGACGTAAATACGTCGTCGGATTCCCCAACAGACTACCGGCTTCCCGTAGTTGCCGAGTAATTATGTTCCGACAAATCGTCGTCGGCCGCCGTTCTCCGACTCCGCTGTTTTCGATCTGTCCACTTATTTTTGGTTACGCAGCTGCCCGGTTTTAAGCGGCCGTTACATCTTTTTTTTTTAGGAATGTCGCCCGGACCCCATGTTTAGTCAAGCATGTTTAGTCGTACGTTGTCGGCGATTTTTTAAATGCGAAATTCAAATAAATAAATGGCCTAATCACAGTGGTTAGACTGTTTCTCTAAATGTCGAGCATTATTGGGTTTATAAGGACGCTGCGTCAACCCTTATTATCAACCCCTTTCAATGGAGGCCGTCAAGAAAATTGTACTCAGCGGAAAATACCAACCTATATTTTTAATCAATTTTTCAAGGTGTACATATAGGTGTATATGTATATTCGTTATAGGATACATTGACTGATATTGTCATATTTATTTTTTAAATGTGTCCTTATATAGTACATAGTATTGCACATATTATATTATACATATTAAATTTAATATTATAAAAATTAATAAAATTATACATTTTAATACGATATAAAAATCGAGAAATAATTTTAATACGATATAAAACTATATAAGAACATATTTAAAAAGAAATATGACAATATCAATCAATGTATGCTGTAACGAACGAGGATATATCCCCACTGTAACTACAAAATTTAAAAAAGGAACACATTTAAAAAATCGGTCATCTTGTGAAACAATATTCTGCTATAAAAATTCCTTCGGTACGCATTTTCAAGCCACGAAGAATGCACTCTCGCATAAGAAAGACGTTAGAATTGGGAGCAAGTGTGAAAAAGTTTGCGCAATCTTCCAAGATCACCGAAATCAATCCCGACCGACGCGTCTCGCAGCATCGAACAGACACCGTCACCGAGTTCTCGCGGAACTTTCATCGGCGTTACGAAGATCTCCGGTTGAATCGGCGGGCGTATCACCGCGTCCCGGCGAAATCGTGCGGAATTGCTTCGCCGCACCGCGCGGTGTTGATTTAAAAGGAAACGCGATTACACGCCGCTGAAGATTGCCGGTAATCACGGCCGCACGTGACCGGCGTCGGATACGAAAGGACGTGAGCCGGGGAGCATCTCGAAACCGCTTCGCGATAACTTTCCGCGTTCGATTTTGCCGCTCCGAACGGCTCAAGACGTTCGAGACCTCGTTATCAAAGAGAACACGAAGTTTCGCGGTATTTCTTCACGTTTCCGTACAGCGTTTGACTGCGTTTGCTACTGTTTGACAATGTTTGCTGGTGTTCGACGATATTTGCCACTGTTTCACGGTGTTTGCTACTGTTTGATGACGTTTGCTAGCATTCGACGACGATGCGACCTCAAATATTGTGCACCAAATGTGTACAATAAGATTTGTACACCAAATCTCGCGGGTTCGCAAATCTCGTTTCGATCGCTGCCGACGGTAATTTGAGAGGCCGGATTAATTGATCGTGCTCTTTGTGATACAACAGAAAATTATGCTATTTTCCAAGCCTTAACAGTTCAACGGTTAAATGGTTTCGCGTGTAGGTACAAGAAGTTCGTGTTGCAACGCGTTTCGTGTCGAGATCTATTCTGTTCTGTCGGATTGGGTGATGTGTCGTGTCCGTTGTCAGCTCGGTTTCCGTTTTGTGTCTAAAATTGGTCTCAACCACTGCGTGCACTGTTGGGTGCCCCGGGTATCCATTTCTATTTCTCCTAATTTTATTTGTTCCCAATTTCTGTTTCTCGCGATCTTGAATAATTCTTCGCGATGTATCGCAAAAGCGCTCCCATTTTTTCTCTAGACCTTCAAAATCGATTAACGTTTCGCGGAAGAAGATTTATATAAAATATTTTAAACGTCCAAGCTTCGAATATCCTGAACGTTTTGGTTGAACGCGCAAGGGTTGAACTGCAGAAATGGGAAACTTCGAGGAAATATTTTCTGTCTAGCAACAAATTAATTCGGTCTGTTTCAGATCGATCGAACGGTGCTTGCTGCTGTTTGACAGTGTGTGATAGTGTTCGATAGCGCGTGTCAGTGTAGAACAGCGTTTCCTGGGGCACATCGTGGATCGGTTTAAAACGGTAACAGTCTCGGACCCGGTGGCCGGCTCTCGAGCAATCCGCGGGTCAAACTTTCGATTAGTTTCACGGCCGTGTCCGTGGAATCGCCGGCTCGAAATAGCTCGAATCGAACCGGCACGCTTCAAGGATGCCCTTATAAATAGACGGGACGTTTCGACATCGTCTGAACCGTTCGACAGGCTATTTCTTTCCCACGGAACTCCAGCCACGGTCTCTTACGTCTTACGCAGTACAAGACGTACGCGAAGCCGGGGAAACGCGTGTGAGAAAACTTCGCCGGCGAAGTACGGTGTTCGCAGACACGAGGAAATGTCCTCCTGGAGGCAATGGATAAATAGAATATTATTCGAATGAATACAACAATTCATTCGAATAAAGAATTATTCGAATAAATGGAATAGTTCATTCGAATAATGAATTGTTCTAAATAGAATAATTCAATCGAATAAAGCATTATTTGTATAAATTGAATAACTCTTTCAAATACAGAATTATTCGAATAAATACAATAATTCATTCGAATAATGAATTGTTCTAAATAGAATAATTCAATCGAATAAAGCATTATTTGTATAAATTGAATAACTCTTTCAAATACAGAATTATTCGAATAAATACAATAATTCATTCGAATAATGAATTGTTCTAAATAGAATAATTCAATCGAATAAAGTATCATTTGAATAAATGGAATAATTCTTCCGAATGAAGAATTATTCGAATAAATAGAATAATTCAATCGAATAAAATATTATTCGAAATAGAATAATTCAACCGAATAAAATATTATTCGAATAAATGGAATTCAACCGAATAAAATATTATTCGAATAAATGGAGTAATTCTTCCGAATAAAGAATTATTCGAATAAATAGAATAATTGATTCGAATAAAGAATTATTCGAACAGAGAATAATTTACGACGAGCAATAAGAAAATATTCGACCGAAAAGGATTCATTCGAATAATTATCCGAGATAAATATTTGTAAAAAATGTCGCAGATTGACCGTGTCGGATCGCAGCAGGACCCCGGTCGCACCGATATTCGACTACAAAGAGCGATTGTGCCGGGGTAACACGAAAATCGGCGCGTGTCGTTCGCCGAGACGCGGCTCGAAAAGGCGCCGAATGGCCGCGGCGGACGCAGAAGACCGGTTGAAAGAGGACGTTCCATTCGGTTTTTCGCCGGAACAGGGGAAATAGAGAAGGAAGAAACGGCGCACGTCGTTGGATACGTTCCATTAACGTGGCGACAAAGTTTCCGTCGTTGGTGTAGGGCGCGAAATTGTGTTCTCTCGGGCAGCCGACGAAAGCCGATACACACGGCTAGGCGAAACGGCGAGTCGATTCGGTTGAACGACAGCCGCGATATGACCGCGGGACAGAGAGAGAGAGAGAGAGAGAGAGAGAGAGAGAGAGAGAGAACGTTGTATCGCCCGAGAAAATTGACTTATCGACCGAAAACCCGACTTCCAACGACAGCACGGTTAAGTTAAAGGCAAAGTTTCGACGCTTACTGGTCGGACGAGGCGTATCGCGGACGATCGCCTTCGTGAAACCAGTCGCCGGCTATCCGATTCCCGGGGGAATTGAAACGGTGCTAATGGCGGACAGAGCAAACGGCTGCTTACCTTCATTATAATCTCTAGGTCCTCGGAGTTGTCGGCGGGAACCGGCCTCGAACTTGTCCCCTGAAACAACAACACCATGCAAATTAAATCCTTGCCACGTAGACCGGATAACGACGATAACACACGCAACAGATTATACCATAATTTACGATGATCTAATGTAACCGTGTAAGTTACTCCCCATGAGGGAAGTGATTCTAAATGTGCACCGAGTCGCAGAAAAGCGTAGACTGACCTCGTAACGGTACCTCTAAATCCGTTTCGATCTAAGTTGTATCCGTTTTAATCGACAAATGCGTTCTCAGGGTATCTCGAAAGGGTATCTCAATCGTAAATAGATAAATAAATACAAAAATTTCAGTCAAGCACCAGATTGATCTATCGATATTTCTATATTTTGGAGCTAAAGGAGAACGATAGGATACTGTTTTTATGCGGAAGAACACTATGTTTAAAACATAAGTGTTTTATCCATGTAATAAGGGCACAAAAAACGATTGTTATAAAAAGAAAAGAAGTAGATAAAAAGGAAAGAGATTTTGTGTAACCGTCGCAAGAGTACAATCAAAATAGAAACAATAAGAATTGTATTATATGCAATGATACGATGCGAAAAGTATAAAAAAAATCTTGAAGTACCATAAACGCAGAAAAATTCGCGGTCTAATAATCGTCGGAATTGCAAACGTATCGGACACACGTGAATACCTCGGTTAAGGAATTGTATACCTGGCGCGTGGTGAGACGCGTGCGTCTGTTTGCTGAATGCGGCTCGTGAAATGTTCAGAGCCGGTTGAAAAGTGTGTAAACACTTTGCGACATGGGCCTGTGCAAACTGTAGCAACGACGCTGCGGAATTGAAGCGATCCTTTCGCCGTGTTCTATTGCGCTTATTATCTTTCTTAATTTCCTGCGGATGGCCCCTGTGAACTTTTCGCGTTCCAGTTTCTATTATCTTATCTGGCCATCGTGCCATCCGGGACATTCTCTATTCAACGCTTGATCAAGAATTTATGGAAATCTGTCCTGATACTGTTGAACTTGAAACACCTACCGGCGAGACGCGATTACGCGCGGCCGCTAATAATATATTCCTCGCCTTTGTGAAATTACGTGTTTCGTTTCTCGCGATTGTAAAATCTGCATTAACACCTGTTAAACGAGCCTTTCAGCTTCTCCGGGAAAGACGTATTTAATTTATTTCGAGTTTGCGACGCTTCGGAGATGCGGGAGAGATCAAAATTGTAGCAATTTCGACAATTCGCGTAATATTAGCTATGCTAATCTAGCATAAATGTATTAATTAGCGTCTTCTGGATATCTCAGCTTGTCAATAGCAACAGCGATAAAACATTGAGATATTTATAGCCAATGTCACAAAATTCAAAACAAGTTTTCATAAACTGTTTACGTAATTTGTTGACTCGATCATTCTCTGTCAGCCTAAATATAATATGTCTTTGTTCTGTTATTGTAAAAAAGAGTGTTTATCCATACATAATAAAAATATAAATAAATTAAATTAAATTTGAATTTAATTCGAATATTTCATTTTAACATCTCATTTACGACCGAATCATGAAACGAAACGAAACAAGTACAGCAACAGCGAGTACACGATAAACAAAAAATGTAGTAAAAATGTAAAAAATCATTCTGCTAGATATAAATAAAATGGCCGAGAATAATCACGAGGATAATACGCTTGAGACCTAAACGCATAGTTGTCAACAGCGAGAAAGTCAACCGTAGTTCTACCCATGCAAAAAATGGATTTTCGAACGAACGTCGCCCTAAAAACGAGCACGCAACCAGTTCGCCAATAATTCTCGAATCGTCGCAGAAATGATCGTTTAACCGGCGATAAACTCAAACACGGCAGAAAACCAATCAAGCGGCCATAAAATCGAAAGCAGCTCGGCGGTGAGCGGAGAACATTACCTATCGGCCTTTCTTCGGTCATATCAACGGCGCTGCGATATAAATCGCCGTTAATCGCGTCGTCCCCGTGAACGTGCTCATTTACGCGGTTGTTAATTAAAAAACGTTCCGAGGACAGATCCGGCGTGGCGGCCTGGAAAACTGTCTCTCGCGGCGCTCGCGATTTATCAGGAGCCGTTCCTCGGCGATCATTAATCAACGCGCCCATCCCTCGTGCCCGCGCCTCTCGTCGAAGGGCGGCGGCGGCGGCGTTGAAAAGAGCGAGGAGGGACGGGACGGGGTATTACGAGTTAGAGTCGAGTAGTCGTTCCTGGGGAGGCGAACGCGCGGAGACAATGGTGGAAAACGCGTGGACCGCGTGACGCCGGACTAAAACCGACCCGGGGTTCGCCGGTGTAAAAGGGGTGGCGCGGAGGCGGTGTGCTTTAGCCCCGGGACACCGCGTCGGGGAAACTAAGGAGCCTGGATAATCGAGGGGGAGCCGGGGAACGGGACGAGAAAAATTGCGGAAGCGGAAAAGCCAGTTGATAAGTCGGCTGCCAGCGGAATCGTTAGAGTGCAGTAAGCTCGAATTGAATGGGGTTTACGAGCGAGTGCGTGCTATAGCCGGCGGATGGAGTGCGGGGGTGGCGCGAGTGCATTGTCTTGCCGCACTTTGGGGTCCCGCGAAAATTTCGTTGCAATGTTCGCGGAGGCTCTGATTTTAGAGCGAGTCAAGGGGCTATTATTATGTTATAATTGGAGGCGCGGTTATTTTCGTTGCTGGGGGTTCGAGAGGTCGAGCACAGGGTGCATAGAAATGAGATGTCAAGACCGCCATTGCGTGATTCTATGGATCGGCGGAAATCTAAAAAAACATCGACCTTGGAATTGACCAATTCTTAAAAATCAAATTCGAAGGGTAACATTCTTTTTTACTGCAATGCACAATAGTCGTCGAGAGGTCAACAATAGTCAACCTTTGCATAAAAAAATAATGTCAAAAACGATGTATAAAGATTGACTGAACAACCAACTTTAACCTTAGCATGCTTAAGGGAAATTGCAAAAATGTCCGCAGAACTTCAAACATGTATTTTTGTTCGAACAATGATCGTTCATAAATTGTTTATACTTTATCCTCAGAGGTATCAAAACATATTATTCAACAGTATTGCACAAATAAATATGCATAACATAAAAGATAACTTCAGAGATGACAAGCAAAGTCCAAAATTCTTCCATTCGTAAAACAATCTAATCTGTACCGTAAAATCTAACTCTAATCTATCTCTAAAGAATCGTCGCTGACAACCAAAGTGGTTGATGCGACGTTGAACACACAGGAATAAAAAATATTCACAGCACATTTTCACAGATTCTTAAGCAGACCTCCTAAGACCTCAAGCGTCCTAAGGTCAAGTATTCGTTCTCAGAAAAGGGGATTCACCGAGTCAACGTTTAAAGATTCCATCGAGCGAATGTTTCACCATTGTTATCAGGTTCACAACGAGATAGAGACAGATTGGATAGTAGATTAGCGGTAGAAACAGGGGATCGGGTAGAATCGGTAGAAACGAGGGACGGGGCAGTAGAAAATCGGAATCTTAATTTCCTCATCAATTTCCAAACATTGGAAACGTGGCGTTTAAATACTTTCGGAAGCCGCTGTAAATGACAGTCCGGGAAAGAATAGTAAAAGGGATGGCCAGGAGTGGTAGCAGGAGAATCAATTTTCCCCGGTGTGCAGGAGCCAAGAGGATGTCGACGTTTCTCGGGGCAAGCCTAATTGCATAAGTACATCGGCAGAGAGTGGCTGTCTCCTTCTCTCGCTCTCTCTGTCCGACTCTCTCGGTTCCTCGTCGTGTCCATTAGACAGAGTGAGTGAGTGAGTGAGAGATAGATAAAGAGAGAGAGAGAGAGAGAGAGAGAGAGAGAGAGAAATAGAGAGACAGGAGGACCGAATCGGGGAAGGCACGATCGATAGTCAATCTCAATGAAATTTGCACCTCGAGGAGTCACGCGTAATAGGGCTCAACCAAACTCAAGCTCTCGGCCCCCGGCCGCCTCCTTCTTCCTACACCCTGTACTCCTCGAGCCGGGATTTCCATTGAAAAGCAATTCGTTTCCTGTCAACGAACCTGTCCCCGCGAACGCTTTCATCGAGCGCCGACCCCGGAAGACGCTTCCCACCGCGGGCTGAGGCGCGAGAGAAGGTAATAACCTCTTTATTGTCACTCTGGCGCCGATTAATACCGGCAACCGCTCGATCCTTCCCAAGGAAATCGATCCCTCGATTTAGGAGGCTGCCAGTCTTCGACTCTTTGACACTTGCCTTAGACGCTGTCTCCTCGGTCATCCTTTAGCTGATCCGGGCTCTAGGCGACGACCTAGCAATTTGCTAGATACCTTCTCGGTGATCAACGCTACTTTCAACGAGACACCCACATAACCCTGCACCGAGCTGACAGTTTCTTGGGATGCTGTCTTTTTGTTTTGCTAGCTTAGTTGCTTTAGATCGTAGACGACTATTTAATGATTCGATAAATAGCTTCAGAGATCAATGCTACTTTCAATGCAGATATAGTTTTGTACGGAGCTGATAGTTCTTTGGAATAGGGGATGCTGTCACTTAGGTCTCATTCTCCGATTGATTTATAGGCTCTAGACGATGACCTAGTGATTCGATAAACACCTTCAGTTATCAGTGCTACTTTCAAGGCAATGCAGATATAGTTTTTTTCGGAGCTGATAGTTCTTTGGAATAGGGGATGCTGTCACTTAGGTCTGATTTTCTGGTTAATCTAGGCTCTAGTCGACGACCTAGTGATTCGATGAACACCTTCAGTTGTCAGTGCTACTTTCAAGGCAATGCAGATATAGTTTTGCACAGAGCTGATAGTTCTTTGGAATAGAGGATGCTGTCTTTTAGGTCTGATTCTCTGATTAATCTAGATTCTAGTCGACGACCTAGAAGTTCGATAAACACCTTCAATGATCAGTAGACCGCGGATCTTTATGCGAATCAGATATTTTCAAAGACGATCGTAAGGAACAGGAATTAAATAAAAATAAATTGCTTCTTTTAATAATTTCGAGAAGTTAAAAGTAGCGTAGTAAAATCATTAAATTCTTCTAANCTCGGGGCAAGCCTAATTGCATAAGTACATCGGCAGAGAGTGGCTGTCTCCTTCTCTCGCTCTCTCTGTCCGACTCTCTCGGTTCCTCGTCGTGTCCATTAGACAGAGTGAGTGAGTGAGTGAGAGATAGATAAAGAGAGAGAGAGAGAGAGAGAGAGAGAGAGAGAGAAATAGAGAGACAGGAGGACCGAATCGGGGAAGGCACGATCGATAGTCAATCTCAATGAAATTTGCACCTCGAGGAGTCACGCGTAATAGGGCTCAACCAAACTCAAGCTCTCGGCCCCCGGCCGCCTCCTTCTTCCTACACCCTGTACTCCTCGAGCCGGGATTTCCATTGAAAAGCAATTCGTTTCCTGTCAACGAACCTGTCCCCGCGAACGCTTTCATCGAGCGCCGACCCCGGAAGACGCTTCCCACCGCGGGCTGAGGCGCGAGAGAAGGTAATAACCTCTTTATTGTCACTCTGGCGCCGATTAATACCGGCAACCGCTCGATCCTTCCCAAGGAAATCGATCCCTCGATTTAGGAGGCTGCCAGTCTTCGACTCTTTGACACTTGCCTTAGACGCTGTCTCCTCGGTCATCCTTTAGCTGATCCGGGCTCTAGGCGACGACCTAGCAATTTGCTAGATACCTTCTCGGTGATCAACGCTACTTTCAACGAGACACCCACATAACCCTGCACCGAGCTGACAGTTTCTTGGGATGCTGTCTTTTTGTTTTGCTAGCTTAGTTGCTTTAGATCGTAGACGACTATTTAATGATTCGATAAATAGCTTCAGAGATCAATGCTACTTTCAATGCAGATATAGTTTTGTACGGAGCTGATAGTTCTTTGGAATAGGGGATGCTGTCACTTAGGTCTCATTCTCCGATTGATTTATAGGCTCTAGACGATGACCTAGTGATTCGATAAACACCTTCAGTTATCAGTGCTACTTTCAAGGCAATGCAGATATAGTTTTTTTCGGAGCTGATAGTTCTTTGGAATAGGGGATGCTGTCACTTAGGTCTGATTTTCTGGTTAATCTAGGCTCTAGTCGACGACCTAGTGATTCGATGAACACCTTCAGTTGTCAGTGCTACTTTCAAGGCAATGCAGATATAGTTTTGCACAGAGCTGATAGTTCTTTGGAATAGAGGATGCTGTCTTTTAGGTCTGATTCTCTGATTAATCTAGATTCTAGTCGACGACCTAGAAGTTCGATAAACACCTTCAATGATCAGTAGACCGCGGATCTTTATGCGAATCAGATATTTTCAAAGACGATCGTAAGGAACAGGAATTAAATAAAAATAAATTGCTTCTTTTAATAATTTCGAGAAGTTAAAAGTAGCGTAGTAAAATCATTAAATTCTTCTAACATCTTCACAATTTTATGTTTCACTCGCTCGTTTTTGTCGTAAATGCATCAAATCCGCAGTCCAGTGATCAGTGCTACTTCCGAGCAGACACAAGTATAGTTCTGCTCGGAGTTAAAAGTACTTTGACATAGGGGATGCTGTCTTTCCAGTCTATTTCTCTATTACTCGACGACTTAGTTGACGATTAGTTCGCTAAATTCCTTCAGTGATCAACGCTACTTCCAAAAACAACTTGGACAAAGTTTTGCAGAGAAATAAATATCTTTTACGTCGATGGATACTGTCTTTTTAGTCTGCTTTGCCAGCTGGTCTGACACTCTAGATGACGACTGAGCGAACCACTAAATACTTCCAATAACAAATGCTACTTGAAAAACAACCGAGGCGTACTTCTCGGAGCTGAAACTTCCTTCGAATAAAGTTTGCTTCCCTCTCAGTCTGTTACTCTGGTAGATCCAGATTCTAGTTGACGACCTAGTGGACCATGAAACACCTTCAGTGATCAATGCTACTACTTTCAAGGCAACTTGGGCATACTCGGAGCTGAAAGTTCTCCAGGATAGAGGATGCCGCGTTTTCAGTCTGTTTCTCTAGCTGATCTTATACTCTAGACGGTGACCTAGTGAACCTTCAGTGATAAATGCTACTTCGAGAACAACTCGGACATGATTCTATTCAGAAATAAAAATCTTGCACGTTAGGGGAACTTGAAGTAACCTTTCGGTATGCTCTTCTAGTTGGATTTATACTCTAAAATGTCACCACTTTGCACTCGAAGCCATTTCAACTGTAAATCTAAAATAATTTCTAAAATAATTTATAGTACTTCAATTTTATAAGACAATATATTATATTATATAATATAATATAACAGAGTTACACTTTTAACAATCTCTTAAGTCTAAACTTTGATAATGTAAAAGTTATCTTGGCACGTGATGCAACGATTTTCGCGGTGCCTCGGAGTCACCACTCGAGTGCACAGGGTTAATTAGAGCAAACTTGTAATACAAATTTCAATTACTTATATTATTAAATTGTTACTTATTTAATTATTAATAGATTTCTACCTATTCTAATCGGTCTATCTATTCTATCAGTCTAAATACCAGTGAACCTCGAGCCACGAATTCTACTTAAAAAACAACCGAATATACTTCCGTTCAGAGCAAAGAATTCGTTGGAACACACTGCCGTTCGATCGGTCCAGATTCAAGACGACGAAGACCGATACGAAGACATCGATCACTCTACGATCCACCCACCGATTCGATCCTATTCCCCCACGTCACCTTTTTCTCAAACCCCTTACGATCCTCCTAAAGTACAGTTCGCGGTACGGCCGGGTCACCGGCTGGCCCATGGAACGGCATAATCCCGATTAAATAGAGGCGGACAACAAAGCGGCCGCGGTAAGGTGGACACGCGTGTTGGCATCGCGCCTGCGACTGCGAAGGGACAGAGAAGGACGGGGTGGGTGGCTGGCTGGTTGTCGTTGGCGTTGCGATGCCAGCCGGGGGAGAATACGCGGCTGCGACGGGAGGCGACGTTTTGCTCGCGGTGTAAACAAGAACGAACGACTGGAAGGAAGGACGAGCAGGGGGTGGCGTCGTGCTCCCGGCGTACGCGCATACACGCGCGGCGAACACGAATGGAAGAGCGAGGGCTGGGGCGTAGGAGAGGCCGGAGACGGCGATGGCGGGTGGCCACGAAACAATGGAAATCGATACTCACGTTATCGAGAGGCAACCTGGACAGTCTGCTGGCTGCGGAGTGAAGCCTGCTGCCGCCGGAATGCACGATACCGGTATTGCCGCCGAGCGTGCCGTTCCCGGGCGAGTTCGGGGGCGGTCCTTTGGCCGGTAATAAACCGTGGCTACGATGATCATTGCTGTTCCCGCCGTGCTTCACCGGCTGACCGGGGTAGCCACCCCGGCCGCCGTACGGCGGCTTGCCGTCCGCGGGCTTCACGAAACCGCCCCGTTGATGGCTCGACGAGGACGAGGAGGAGCCTCCTGTGCGCGGCCCGCCGGGTTTCTTGAATTCTTGGGACGACGGCGAGCTCCGTGAATTCGAGCCCACGGAGCCTAAACTTGTTCGCAGCAGCGAGCTCGCCGTCGAAGGCGCCGGACTCGCCGGGACACCCTCGATACCGATCAGACGCTTCGGATCGTCCAGAAGGTGTTTCACCAGCGAGTAGTTGCCGAGCTTCGACTGGATCTGCTGCGTTGTGCTGTCCTGGGCGTCTGGGTTCATCTGGAACAAGAGAGGTTCAAGGTTAGATCACGGATGGTCTTTCGAGCGTATTGCTTGTGTGAAGTTTACATGGTAGACAGGTTGGATAGAAGAATCGTTTTAGCAAATGGGGAAGATGCGACAGTTCCCGTGCCCCCGGATTATAGGAAAAGGCTCGAACAATCGTAGTTTCTTTGTCCAAATGTGTCCATTTTTGTTCATAAGTTGAGGGATACATTGTGGAGAATTTACTTCATTGGATTGGCGAGAAAGTATTTCCGCTTATTATACATAGAGAATATTGTAATTGTTGTTTCTAAACTGAAATTAGCGTTAACAGATTTTTATGCGAAATATAAAAATTGTCTGCATTGTTTCCAGGATACAAAACTCGCATAAACATTTCTCTCTTCCTTTCATCATTTCATTGCGTTGAAACTAACGTTATATTATATAGCATTCTGAGATTCTTGAATCGTTTTATCGATTTTGTATTTGATCTATTAATTTTTGTTAGAAATGCATAAAATACACGGTCCATTGGTTAACAAGTTATCTTGCGGGTCACAAATCGAGCTTTACTTGCACGCCCAATGGGAGAAAGTCAATGAAGTTTGTAAAAATCCACCTTTTAAAAAATATTTAATATTCTCTGAACTAACAATATGATTTTGATATAACAAAATTTATAAAAGTAAATTTTTGGGATGGTATTAATATACGTATTAATAATAGTAGTATAATAATATATTAATAATATAATTTATAATATTATGTAATATTATATATTATAAAATTATTAATAATATAATTTATAATATTTATAATATCAATAATATATTAATAATAATAATGGTACGTATTTATATGTCCATACCAATAACACAATTAATACCGTTTCAATGATACAATTAAAAGCATCCCAATAATACCATTAAAAATCAATTAAATCGCGCGCAGGTCGTTAAAAAGGACACTAATTTTTCGCGGAGCTAAGAGAGACTTTCCCAGAAAGTATCCTAAAATGTGGTAGAGATACTCGAGATCGTGTACAGAGAAGACCGAGAAGAAGCAAAGGAAAGAGAGAGAGGGAGAGAGTGAGAGAGAGAGATCGCAGCGCAGCAGGATAGAGAAAGAAGGAGACGCGATTGGGCGGCGTGGAAGGAGAGTCCCTGACCTGGTCACCTAAGCGTTCTCTATTCTCTCTCTGCTCCGGTAAGTTTCTCTCGGAGCTTCTCGAGGCGTCGCGTTTATGTCATCTCGGGGCTTGGCTCCCTCTCCAACGCGTAATTAGCCAGACACACAACCCTCCCACGAGTTCCCGGGACCCTTTGAAACAGCGAGTCGAGAGAAAAACAGTCGAGTATAGAGAGGAGCACTCCCCGAAGATTGGATCTTCGGGAGCATCGATTCGATTCGCCCCACGAATCCCGGCACGACCGAAATAAAACTTCGGCTCCGGCGACGCGGAGAGTTCGAGGGGGTTCGATTACTTCGAGGAAGCCACAGGTAATTGCGCTTTCGATGACCACGGAATTACGTTTTTCGTAAAACCGTCGGTTCGAGCCGATTTCGTGGGAAGAATTAACGGCCGACGGGAGTGCCATTCGTTTAGAAGTTAACCCTGGACCGGGCGCGTTGGTTGAAACGACATAAAGCGGCGCGTGGGACGCGCGACACCCCGGGAGACTTGTAAAAATAATGCCGGGAACGAGATCACGCTGCTGTGACTCTTAATTAAAGGCTAATGCGGCTATCGACGGCTGGACGACACCGCTCGACATTTCGCTGAAAGATAATGGAAAGATGGATGGGGTGACGGACACCCCACGCGACCCTTTCTGGGTGAACATAAACGCCATTTTCTATAGTAGACGTTGCACGCAGAAATGATCGTAGCTACTCCTTTTTAACGCAGACGGTGAAAAGTTGAGGGCAAAAATAGACGGCTGTTTTGTTCTTCGACTAATCTGGATTTGCAAATTTTCATCGGTCGACATAGATTTCGTTGCTAGAACATAGACTCTTGAAACGGTAAACAGAGGATAAACATTTCTGTGTTCTCATATAAAACGCGGAATTTGGCAAATGAACTTCTCTTGAAATAGTGTACGTGGAAATAGCATTTGAAATGTATTTGAAACTGCTATCGCGACTGCTATATCGAAAAAAGTTCACTTGCCAAATTCTGTATTAAACGCGAGGCTAAAAATATCTCGTCGCTCATTTCGTCTGTTGTTCGAAAAATCGATCCTCTCCGCAGCCCAGCGATCGTGTCTCCGAATCGAAAATAAAAGAACCGCGAGGTCGTAGGGGTTGTAGTCGGTGGAGCGGGGGGCTGCTCGTCGGAACTACTAATGGCTTTCTTCGAAAATCGCAGCTATAGCGCGCAGGGTGCAGGGATGCATCTCGTTGCATCTCGAAGCTCGTTAAAGAAGAAACCGGTGGTCGGTGGCAGTGGGCGCAGCTGGCGGAAAAAGGGTTGTTCTCGGGTCGAGCGTGATTTATAGCGCGCTCATTAATCACGTTACGTTCCCTGGGCGTTCCCCCGCCTCCTTATTAAACCACGATTTGATCTCATTGTCCTTGAAGACAAAGGCGACGCGGCGCGCGGCGCGACGCGGCGGATCATAAACGCGTGCGCGCGAGCAGATCGGAGCGGAGGAGAGCAGAGCGCGCAGAGCAAAGCGGATAGTCGGGGAGCAGAGCCGAGCAGTCTGTCTTGTCCGACTGTCTGTTATTGTAGGCTTGTTGCAACAACGTCGCTACAACGGTCCGCCACGTAGAGAATCTCTCTCTCCTCTCGGCAACAGCCTCGTAAACTTTGCCAGCTACTGTTTCGCCGCATTAATTGTTATTGCCCGCGTGTGCGAGCTCGCGCGCGCGCGCGCGCACCCCGACGCCGACGCCGAGCTACCGACTTGCTTTCGCACGGTTCTCCCCCGTGAATTATGGCTGATAAACCGTGCAACTTGGCTAAGCCAGTTTCCACGGTAAAACCAGAGAGACTCCTCTCTCTCTCTCTCTTTCTCTCTCTCTCTTTCTCTCTCTATTTCTCTCTCGGCATCCTTAAACCGATGTTTCTGTACCATGTCGGTTGGGGAATAATCACGACTACTTAATGGAATTCCATCATTCTATTATTACTGATCGTTGACGATCGATGCAGAGTTTTCGCGTTAGCTATTATTAGTAGTATTGATAGTATAATATATAATATTGATTATATGTTATTAGAATTATTTAATTATTCATATTATGTAATTCTTAATATGCATATAACAACTATGTGTCATATAGTATTGATAATATAATTATAGTATTGATAGAGTACTATAAATAATATTTAATAGCGAGCACAATTTTATTCGAAGGATTTCTTCGAAATATTTCTCGAATAAAATTTCGTTCGAAGAATTTAATCGAATCAAATTTTATTCGAAATTATTTCTTGAATAAAATTGTATTCGTTATATTCTTGAATAAAATTGCATTCGTACAATTTATTCGAAATATCTCTGGAATAAAAATTCATTCGTAACGCAACTCGAGTGAATATTGATTCGAAGAATTAATTCGAAATATCTCTCGAATAAAAATTCATTCGTAACGCAACTCGAGTGAAATTTGATTCGAAGAGTTTACTTGAAATATTATTCGATACATTACCCGAACAAATTGCCCGAAGAGTGTATCCGGTATATTATCCGAATAAATTTTTACGCGAAGAATTTATTCGACATGTGATCCGAATAAAATTTTATTCGAAGAGATTATTCGAATTTTTTCTTTACTATCGACACGATTCCGATCAGATTGGCAAATTTATTGGAAGCCGATCTAAATAAACTTCGACATATATATCTATCCCGCTTCGATCATACATTCACTTGAATGCTTCCACTATTTAAAATCGGATGAAAATGCCTGGAAATCTTTCTCAGAATTACGCAACAATATTTTCGGTAGAGGGAACATTTTTTAACGATGCAGTGTTCATACTATCCGAGTCAAGATTGAAGCCAAAAAATGAAGCCACAAAGATTCTTTCTATTTCCAAATAAAATTCTTCAGACCGCGGTAGAAAGTTTCATCCTGCCTCATTTCCGTGCATTCGTACTTGTATTTAGCGCAAGTCGAATAAATAAAAATCACGTTAATTGCAGAACGCGCTATTCTTTCGTCGCGGAGCACAGTATCGACGTTTCTAAGGAGCCGCCGCGCGTTTTTACGATCGCCGCTGTGCACTATTTTTATTCATAGAGCCGGGGCCCGATAAAATTTCCATAATCCGAGCAGAAAATTCGCGATACCGGCGGTAAGTTGGATCAAATAAATCAGGCCGCGTTCTTTCGGCGGGAATTTACGAGTCGCCGCGGCTCTTCGAGCGGCCGCGTTCGACCGCGAATCGGCGCGACTCGATTCGATTCGATTCGATTCCCGTTCGACAAAGGCCACCGATTGACTGGTCGTCCTCGCCGAGACGAGTGAAGCGGGGAGGGAGAGGTCTTAGCGAACCAGATTTCACCAGAATTAACATGCTGCTCGAACGTAAACGGCATAATCGGCCGAGTTTTACGTCACCGCGAACGCCACGGTGCTTGTAATCAGTGGCGTTCTTCGCGATAGCGCGGATTTACGATCGCGTTCCAGCGTTAATCGGCCGGGAACAAGCTCCTACGGCTGTAAAGTCGAACACACGATCGGCCACGGAACGCTTTCCTCGCGCGAGCTGTCTTGCTCGGCTCCGATCGGCTCTGCTCGGCTCCGCGAGCCGTCGCGGAATTTGCGTCACGCCGCGCCGCACCGCGCCGCGCCGCATCGCCTCGCTCGGTGTTAACGACGCGACTTGTGTTACGAGCACGCGGTATATTCCGTCGATTTACGACGCTTTCGGCGACCGCTTTACTGTGACGCGGGAACGCTTGCGCGTCATTGCGTGATGCACTTCTTGCGAGACTGCAGTCATTCAGAGGCTCTGGATTTGCTTGGGAACGTAATTTAACCGGTTGGCTGTTGCG